TATTGCTTATTTCTACGTGTATGAGATTAAATGGACTTCGAATATTCTTATATGACATAATACATTTTATGCATTCGTGTATTTGAATCTTTTATTTTCGAACATTGTAACGGAACAAAGAAAAATTCTACATATTCTGACATATATGTGTTTGTGCAATAAATAATACTTAAAAGGATTTAAAGCGTAATTTCGGTTCTATGTTAATACAATTTGTGCAAAGAAAGATACATAGCTGTCATTAGACTAATCAAAAATAATACATTCGAACTCATGAACTTATTACTATATAACTACATATTTTACATTCTTTATCACTTTCAAAATTTGTGTTATGATTATTTTATGAAAAATTGTATTCTTATTGTTTCTTACTGCATCCAAGTTTTCTAATAAAATACTAATTGTTATGTTAAAAAATGTTGTAAAATAATACATCACCAAGTACAAGAAAATACTCTCCTTCATGACGGTCAACATTCTGGTATGTTTTGGAAGGAACTAAGTCGACAATATAGAATCCTGGTTTCCTTTATATGCCTCAGCACTACCGATCCTAAGAGCTTAGTCTTGTCAATGACAGGAAATGTGTACATTATGTATGTAAGTACGCACGCATCTACATATGAAAGATTTCTCTACTTTCTCTTTCCTTTGAACAACCAGATCCTATTCATTGTTATTGTTAACATTAGTTGTTTATTAAAGATGAATTTCAAAGCAGGACACCCGATTTATAAATGTTTATTGTATTAATAGTCACACAAATGTATGTACGAAACATTCGATTATATTATATTTCTATACAAACAGTAATATTATATTTTTTATAGAAATTTTATTATCAAATTAAAAAAGCTTCTAACTTAATAGTTAATACCCTTGTAATATAACAAATCATGTGCATATACTTTGAGATGAAGGTCCGTAATATTAATATATTTTACACACAAAGTATCATATTAAATAAACAAATTGTTTTCATTATTTTCTAAATATATTATGTATATAATATCATATTGTTAAAATTGTATTCATATCTAATTGTCTAGAGAAGAGTATTTTATGTGAGATAAATTTGCAATTCGGAAAAGCAACTGTAATGTTTATGTATTAATTTTATTATTAATTTCTTATTTTAAGTACAAACTATACAATATGCACAACTATCTGTGCTACAAGATTTTTTATTTAGGCATCAGAAAATTCGTAGAATTTCTATCAATACAATATCGTGTTCAATATTACTCATAATTCATGACTTTAGACTTCTTGTTACTAATTGAATTTTCTGTGTACTTCATTTCTACTACAGGTACTTAATTCTAACTTAATTACATAAAATTCATGCGGTACTTGCATTAAAACGATAGAAATTCACTTTTCTTTTATTACGGTTATTAAAATATCAAAGATAAAAATTTGAAACTTTGCTTTCTTTTAATATTTTTAACATTTCTTACATTCTCATAATAACCAAAAATGTTACGTATCCTTTGTTAAAATATATTTAAATCTGTTGTGTTTATAACAGATTTTATAAGATATTTATAAAAATATGAAAATATAGAAGATAGCTAATAAAATAGATAACAAAGCCTGACTAAACGATCTTCATGCAATAACATTATGATGTTTCATAATTGTGCACACTATGCTAGAATCATAAGCCACATTTATATAAATTTATAGCTTGCACTGTTCATTGAAAAAATTTCCTATAGATATATAGTACAGATGTACCTAATATGTATAAACCGATTTATAATAGCACTCTTCTATTATAACTGTACACTTTAAAAAATTGTATGCTAAAAATATTTAAATTTTATATTATTTTACAACTATAAATTTATATTAAGGCTGAAAAATAAGCCGCAAAAGATCTTATACAATTTTTACTTGCTCTAAGCATATTGTTACAATAAGGCGCGATCTAAAACAGTTCTTACGAAATTTTTCTACATCCGAAAGTCAATAATAGCCAACGGTTGTAATAAACCTATTTCTATATATTTTTTATATAATACCTTCTTCATTAAGCGAAATATATATCTTTTAATAAATAAATTTTACTACTTTACTTCTTTTATATTATTGTAGTATCATTTATAGTTATCATAGAAATGTGAACATTTTTATAAACATCGCAAAGAAAAGTTCTAATAAGGAAAATATTTTTTTCATATTTTTCTTAATGGAAGTTTTTAGTGACCAATATACTATTAAACTACAACTGGCAACTTTTTTTTAAATGTAAAGAAGTGGAAGTGTTGATTTGATCCTCAAATCATTATATAATAAATTTATAAAATTTCAATCAAATTGGTTGCAAAGTTCTCTTGTTATGTAGTACTGCTATATAACTGGTCATTGAATATCAAAGTACAAGAGTGCTTATTTTTGCCAGTGATTCTTAATGACAGAGTAAAGTGAAAAAGTATTCTGATCGTTGTAAGCAACTCATAAATGTTGGTCTACTACGTTAACTATATTTCCACTTTACTCTGATATTATGAATTTTAGACGACTTTGTCAATTACTATTAGTTGCAGCACGAGGTACATATATAGATAGACATTACACCTTACGGAACTCCGTGTCACAAGTTCACAATTACCGACTGTGTAATAAATCAGAGGTTTTGCTCTACCCTTAAACGTCTTGAGAACGATGAATAGGAAAACTACATCACGTAAAATGATCAAAGTTGACCAAGTAGTAAATATTCCCATTTCTACATCACTCATGACCTTACCAATCAGTACAAATAAAGGTAAAATTTCCACATACCTGACAAATCCGATAGAGCTGAAATTTTACATGTACATTCCTTTTACATAGAAATCATGTTTGCGAAATGGATTTTTACTAATACGAAAGCTAAGATATAAAATTTTATAAAAATTTGTTTTATCATTTGAGTATCATTACCTGTAATTTTTAAAACATTTGTGTTCTGATTAATCTAGTATTGTACCAATAATTTCACTTTGCATAGGAAAAATGTTCGCGAGGAGACTTTGGTGCAGTTCTACAGTTAAATTACAAAATTTTGCGGAAAAGCATTGTATCATAGTAATATCACTCCCTATGTTGCCGACACAACGTAGAATAACATCAGACTAATATTTCATATATCCATATTTTTCTAAATTTATGATCTCCTTCAACAATCTGTATGGATCTCCGTTCTAGGAGCAACATGTTTTTTTTATTAAAGCTATAAGCATATCCTCATCTCTTTAATTGTCAGGACATATTTTAAGTTGAAATATCCTTTCTCCACGCTCTATCAAAGCTGTTAATAAATAAAATATTAAGTATAACTATTTATGTGTTCCACATATTAATGGAAATGTTAGAAATAATTTGTGACTATCGAAAAGTAAATGTAAGGGCTGTGGAGAGGCTCTCCCCTACACTCCATTCCCGTAGAAAAAGCATGGTCCACCTATACCGGACATAAATTAAGTGCCGTCAGTATATAACATTTAAAGTATTTTTCGATATTGAAATCGTCATCTCAGAAGGTGCTATATTTTCGTCCCTCACGGTAGGAACAAAGGATAACTGAAGCCTATGGTCCAAGGTCTCCGACTGGCCGGTACCAGTCACGGATTGTAATGGGTCACTAGTATAAAAAGTTAAATGTCATGCGAGAAATGTTTGACGATGTACCAGTTTAAAGCTCCTTATTCCCTTACCTGCGATTTCCACTATAATGTTCCCTGGCATTTTCAGAAATAGCTGTTGTAGCACGCGTGGTGAAGCGACGCTTGTTCTTTACTATAATGATAACGTAGAGACTGATACTACAGTCTGTAGTAAAACGCGTTTTTACGAAATTTTGTAACTTTAGAACTTCCGAAATTTCTTCGTGTCAATATTTTCCTATGCAAAATGAAGCTGTTGATTGGATATTAACCCAGTTAAAGCATAAAAGTTTCAAAAATTACGAGTGACACTGTAATGGTAAGGTACTTTTTCCAAAATTTTGTATCTTGAACTCTGCATCGTCAGTAATTTTTCTGGCAAACATTACACCTCCCTAAAAGGGACCTATATGCAAACTTTCAGTCTCGTCAGATTTGTCAGGTTTTTGGAAGTACAGCTGACTTAAAATAGTATTTAAGGTACTAGGTACCTCGTCTGTGTTGAAACACTCGTAGCAGAAATGAAATATATAATTAATTCCATTCCTACTAACAAGTTAAAAATCTTGTATTATCGGTAATATCGAGCGCGACCACAATGGTACAGAGGTCTCGAAATACCAGAAACTCTAGACGAATTTCCCGGAGGCTATAACGTCTGTACGTACCTTAAGTCAGTGGTTTTACATTCTAACTTATCGGCTAGGTAACTCTAATATTCTAACTTATCGGCTAACTCCATAATTCGTAGATGTGACAGCTATATATCAAGGGAAGATTATAGTATACAGTAATCTTCTTTAACAACAGAAGGTATATGTGATCATCAATTGATAGAATGAACTATGAACTGCACAATAAAGTTCCGTTTTTGACATAGGACGGATCATGGCAGCATTGTTCAAATTTTATAAAAACAAATTTTTACAGTACGAATGCATAGTCTATGACGTATTTATATTTACAAGAGATTCTAAAATACTTACAGCAATTTTCTTGAAATTATAAGTGTGATGTATTTGATAAAAATCCAATCTTTTACTTTTCATTTCTGGTATAACTATTTTCTCTAAAGAATTAAAAAGTTTTATTTCTTTAAATTGTGTTAAACATATCCATTCATTGATAATAGTGTACAAAATTTGATGAAAATGCATGCTTGACAATAAAAGTTCTTCGTAGAAATTTAAATATGGAATTTAAATATGGAATTAATCTTCATGCCTCTCTCATGTTTGAAACTTAGAGGTTTTGTTTGTTTCAAATTAACACAATGGTAACATATTTCATATAATTTTGAATTAATTTGTAGAAAATAATATAATTATGTGCTGTTTATATTTGTTTACTACAGAGTGCACTTTGTATATTGTCGGTGAAAAGTATTTAAGCACTCGATGAAAAGTTATTGATTTTTCAAATTGTTATAACTTCATTAAACAAATTATACCACAATTGCTATACGCCAATTTTAAAGTGTGAAGTTTCTATTGTAATATTGTTGAATGCTTTGTTTTAAAGAAAAATTATAAATCATATAAACCAAACCTAAAAGTAAAGGTATTTTTTTCAACAAATTTTCTTAATTCGAACGTCTATGGAAATTCTGAAATTCTTTTCTTGATTGCATCCATAACATTTTCGCAGACTGACGTTTCCTTTTTTTAAGGACCCTCTAAATTACGATTACAATTTTTTCTCCCGAAATTATGACAACGTTTACGTATCGACAATTTTGTTCCTTTGTTGGTAGATCACCGAACGTGTTACCGTTTTACTTCGACGTGGCGCATCTTGAAATTATTGTAATTTTTTACGTTTAAAGCTATAAA